CGGCGGCTGACGAGCAGCTGCCGATGACGGAGACGGCGGCTGACGAGCAGCTGCCGATGGCGGCTAGAGGACGACCGGCGGCGGCTGACGAGCAGCTGCCGATGGCGGCTAGAGGACGACCGGCGGCGGCTGACGAGCAGCTGCCGATGACAGAGACGGCGGCTGACGAGCAGCTGCCGATGGCGGAGACGGCGGCTGACGAGCGGCTGCCGATGGCGGCTGGAGGACGACCGGCAGCGGCTGGAGGACAGCTGCTAATGACGGGGGCGATGCCTGGCGAGCAGCTGCCCGTGACGGAGCTGATGGCTGTTGGACGGCGGCCGACAGCACTGACGGCGGCTGAGGGGCTGCCGGTGACGACCGACGAGCAGCGACGGTCTGTTGCGGTGGTGAACGGTTCACACCAATTGGTGAGTGAGAGTGGACAGACAGTGGCACCATCTGTGCCAAGGACAGGGGCACTATCGGGGCCGACGACAGTGGCACCAGCTGTGCAGCCGACAGTGGCGCCATCTGATGCGAGCGGGACTCCGACGGGTGGTTCGAGAGTGTTTACTCGTTCAGGGCGTGAAGTGCGACGTCCGGCGCGATTCCTGGACTGATCGTGTGCAGAGAGTGTTTGGAGCGTTACTCCTTGTCCATACTCCCTGTTATAAGTGTCTCGTGTACTCTGCTTGTTTGCGGTGACGATGACGAGTGACTCGTTGGTTAACAGCTTAGAGGAGTTACTTTTGGACGTGAGTCCGGTTTAAGGAGAGGGGAGTGTAACGATAGAGACATAGTTTGTCGGTCTCCGGAAAGGGTTTTGTCGATATGGCCGCATTTGGCAGCGCGTGCGCCATTATTTTGTGTTGGTGCGCCATGGTTGTGGCGGTTGAGCGGCGTGGACGGGGCGTGGCCCGATGGAACTGTTGTGGGACGACGATTTCGAAAATAAAAACGAAAAAGGATTACGTGAAGACGTAACAATTGCTCCTTGAACCAGAAATCGAATAGGTAGGTGATGCTCGCTGCCTCTTTTTAGGAGGCATGGTCAGCTTACTCTTGGCGCGTCCTCTTGATCTAAATACGGCTTTTATTGACCTTAATCTACTTGTAATACATCCTTGGCCTTGTAGTGCGCTATCCTGCTGGCCCATGCCGGTCTATGAGGGTCCCACAGTGACCTCTGAGGCCCCATGCTGGCCTGTAAAGGCCCATATTAGCCTCTGAGGGCCCCGCACTGGATTCTGAAGACCCGATGCCGGCCTTTAACCATCCCCTGTATTGGTGTTTTTCCAGTCACGAACGTATAGGAGGGGGGGGGGGGGGCGTTGGACCTCCCTTGCCGTTTCCCTCCTGATCGAGCTAGAACTTCGCGGAAAAAACAAGCGTGTTGCCCGTGACGAGAGGAAGCCGATGATACCCAATTTTAACCCTCGCCGGCACAGGCCATTGCGTCCTTCGGCGGCACGACCCCCCCCCCCCCCCACGCGTTTGGCCCCTGATCAAGCTAGAGCTTCACGGGAAAAAACGAGCGTGTTCCCCGTCACGAGAGGAAGCCGATGATACCCAATTTTAAGGTCCTAGGTCATCGGGTGACCTTCCAGGTCAGGTCAATGACCCGAAAACCGGGAAAATCGGGACCTGTTAGAAAGTCGTAAAGTGTGGCTGCTATGTGGTTTTCCGGGGTGCTGATCACGAATAGAGATGCCACTTTTGAGCCCGCGAACCCGCTTTCTGCGGGTTTTCAAAACCCGCAGGGTTTTTGGCGGGCTCGAGAAGCAAAACTTGTCGTGTTGCGGGTATTTGGCGGTCAGACTTAAGAACCTTAATTTTTTTTTTTTTTTTTTTTTTTAGATGCAAAACACAATGCCAAGTGCATTTGCTCAGGTTAACAATACAATATTGATCGAAACAACTTTTAAAACAGAACCAAATATAAAAATATATCATGGCAGCACATTTCAAATGCAAAACTGAAAACAACCAGCAATAGCATCCACAGTCTAGCAATGACCAAACCAGGGTACAAGCAACAAACTACAAAGCATAAATAAGAACCTGAAAGAACATAGCCATCGTTTTATGGAATGCTGATGAAAGCATTCCATAAAACATAAAAGAACCTGAAAGCAAACTTAAAGGAAGCTGAACTGAAGTCCATGTGCAGTGTGCACTAGATATACATTATGGAAGAACCCAGACTTAAATGAGATGTTGAAAATCAGAGCAAATATCACATGTTACTTTATTTACGTCTGGTCGGCATAAAAAAGACCTATCAGCTAAACAAAATTTGATGCAAATTTATTGATTACCTATCCTACTCTATGTTCTGTCCCACCCTATATTACGAAAATAGCACACCAATTACCCTTACTGTTACAAAAAAAAAAATCAAAATATTGACTGGCATGCGGCCCAAACACAGCGCAATACAATACTGGCGCACTTCCGACATTATGACAAGGATTGGTATTTGACTGCGTCAATTTTGGTCTCTGAGGCGAAGGAAAGCTGTCATTGATGACGCAATAATAATTTTACAATCAATTTTTCTGTCTTGGTTTTTGAATGCCTCAAAATAGCAGTTATACATTAGGGTGGCACTAAAACGGGGCTAAAATTTCGTTTTGATCATTTTCAATGGGACGGGCAGCCAATCTGTTCTACCACCCGAGAAAACGTTGTGTGTAAAATATTTTTGGAAAATATGTTTATTTAGAGGTAGCTCAAACAGGTCAAAGTTTACATTTTTGTGAAAAACACAACTTTGCCGAAATTTCACTTTTCACGTGTATTTCTGATGTTCACAATGACATTGGACGTTGCCAAGACTTTATCGAAACGTTTTAGCACCTAAAGCTCAGATATATAGGTACATATGAGGTACATACCTACCTAATTATTTTGAAGGTATGCATAACTTACTGCATAACTTTATGAAAAGAGAAAGCGGTATCATCGGTTATCAGCCAACACTTGTACACATCATTCGTCGGCTAGTCTTGCCTACTTAGAAGCTACGATCGCCTTGCGTATGTCACAATGCTTGCGTCTTTGCTCCTCGACGACCTACAAGAGGAGCTGCTGTTAGTCTTTATCCTTCGTGGGGGTCAGATCGATTTCCTGGCCATCAACAAAATGCCTCGCTCCGCCAAGTCGTAGAGGCGTGAAGAGACCTCATGTAGCGCATGGCGGTGTTGTAGAATGGCTTGACCTCCCAAAGAATCGGATCCTTCAAGAGGAAGTCGGTGTCCATACCGAGGATGCTGAAGAAGCTTGTGAAGCCAGTTGTGATATGACGAAGTCTGCCGTGGACTTGCTAGAGACTCAAGTCTGAAGCTATAGTAAGTTCAACGTGGGCTCGACGGGGGGGGGGAGGTGCCCTCGGCCCTCTCCTTATCTCGTAACGATGCAGCCATCTCACGTTTAGTAGCAGCGATCGTAATCTCCTTCATTAGAAGTTGAGGGCGACCAGTCTCTCATTTAGATACCAAAGGTAACGGCTGAAGGCAATGGCTGTCGCCTTGGACACCGATTCGAACACCAGTTCGTCCAATTCGTATTCCAGGAGGGACTTGAGGAAGTCGAGATCTTGCGCTGGTGCAGACGCCAGAAGCGGTACATTGAATCGAGCCGAAAAATACGTTGTTACCACCAAAGGTCACGATTCGCTGGAGCCTCTTCTTCTTAGACGTAGTGAGCCGGGATTGTGCTCGGAAGAGATAAAGCTTCATAGCGTAAATGGCATTGGTCAACCAGCACACACGGAGCATATCGGGGCGAGCGATCTTCATACCTCGTTCTGGAGCACCACCGAGGACAGTGATGGCCAGCTCCAGCATCTCACGGTTGTCGCGTGAGTGCCAGCGGTCAAGGATATACGACCGAACTGTGCAAGAACATCACGCGCGTTGTGGAGGTGGGACATGTCACAGTTTTTGAAGGTTTATGGCTTCGTTCCATCTAGACGCCCACTTTTTATGGAAGCGCTTAAACAAAACAACGTCCGGGCTGCTGACGGGCCGAGGTAGGCTGAAAATGTCTTGATAGAACAAACTCGTAAATGTCGTGGCAAGTCAGGTGGAGTAAGTCCTGCTCGAGCCGCTGCTCGATGATCGTGCAGGCTCCTGCATTGAGGCCGGTGTTCGATACACTTGTGTCAAAACTGAGCGCTTTCACTCAATCCTTCAACTCTCACTTATCGAGGGATTCTAGAACAGCGTTTGCTGCGGCCTGTCAATTTGAGCCTGGCTAGCGAAAAAATGTTTTGAAATGGCTTAGCCAAACACAACTTATCTTTTTCACGTGCATGTCTTCTCCCTGACATCACGAAGACACGGAGACCTGCCCTGTGGCCGTACACTGGCAGTGTCCCCCTGCGCATTAGTGACCGGGGATACAAGAGCAGAGTAAATGCGTATTACAAACGGATCGCAATACTCAGCGAAGAAAAACCATTCCTGATACGCATTTATTTGCTCATGTAACCCCGGTAGGTAAGTGCTAGCAGTCTCATGACCCTTCCCAACCATCGTACTACGAGAGAAGAGCTGAAGTTGCACGTCTGGCAGCGGGCTACCGTCAACGAAAAAAAATAAGCTAAACTACGATGAACAGTCATTGGTCGAATCACGCATTGCGTCACAGCGCGTTTGCGGCGAGAAACACTGTGGTTATGGATCAAATAGGAAGGCATCTATCATTCATTTAAATGTGTTATGCCTCAAATATGACAATGCTTGGAAAGGCGCGACACACATTTGAATCCCCGTTCACAATATACGTTTTGTCAATATGTACCAAGTATGACCCCATTGAGCTACCTCTAAATATAAATATTTTTTGATAAAATTTCATACAGATCATTTTTTCGTGAGGTAGAACAATATGCCTACCCGTCCCGGTCGAAATTAAAAAAGTCGAAATTAAGTGCCACCCTATTATACATGTTACAAAACCACGTAGCTGGTCGCATTTATTTCTTTTGTCTTTTTACGTCCTTATTATTTCAGTTGGGCAAACTACGGGGAGGTAATCACGAACTTGATTAATCAAGTTCATGATTATGACGTCATGAAAATGGGGCGTGGCATGACCATATAAGGAGTTGTAATCAAGATTTTGATTACTTTTCGTGCACCGAACTATTCAAGTGTTTCGTTTCGATTGTTATAATGTCCATATCGACACGATTTTTTACCAGGTGAAACGCAATATTCTATTCTCCCGAAATGATATGGACCGGTAGCAGTGGGATATGTACTTTAGCTCATATGGCGAAAGATAAACTGCTAGCCTAACTTTTTCAGAAAAGTGATATTTTTTAAAGCCCTTTTTAGGCGGATATTATTCTTTTATCCACATTTTTACGTTTCTAATTTAAAAATAAATAATTGGACATTCATTTTACACACGTCTTAAATTGGTCGTAATAAACATTTCTTCCAAAAGGCACCGTCGCCTGTTAGCACGCCGCCATTTGTCGTGTTGTCGGTGTGTGGGTGAGGCCGGAAATTAGCGCCGAATTATTGGTAATTTGGTTCTTATAGGTAAAATTAGCATTTTTTCAATAATTTAGATCATGTTTGTAAATTTGAATAGCCTCAACGTTCATGTGCGTCGGTATAAATGTTGAAATATCGCGATAGAATTTATGATGATTTTGTAGGCTATCATGGCGCATGCTTTCCGCGGTATAATATTTTAATTATTTACAAAGTGTATTGCTATTTACATGGTTATAGTATATCTTAAAGTAAATAATAGGCATAGTTTGTTGTTTGGGGCAATTGTTGATTAGAGAGGCACATTTAACTGCCCACAGTAGCTAGAAATGTTGTGGCCTGGCAGGTTGTGCAGAAGTTTGTAGTGTGGCCATATCATTTATTCAGTCAATTGTCTGTGCAAGCAGGGACCAATAGGATATATCTTTTAGTTTTTAATGAAAAGTTAAATTTGGGCTTATGCTAGGTTATTCATACTTACATTTTAAGTGGCTTTGTCATGGATTCATAGAACAATAATAGAAGTGGTGACTGCAAATGTGTCTGTTTTTCCACAGCTCATCAAAGCACCACCTCCTCGCTGTAGCAGTGGGCGTCGCTGTCACCACAGTATTGTTCAGGAAGCTCATGATAATGGTACCTATGGTCCTACGTTGAGGAACGCTCAATCAAAAAATGATATGATGAACTTCTTTGGAATTAAGCGGACTAAGTACAGCTACATTTGTATTATGTGCATCGCTCATGCAAGACAGCAGGCCAGGATGCAGGGACACACAGCTGCAGGTATGTATGAATTGTTTTTGCAATAGATGGTTGTAGTGTTTTGTTTTGTCGCTGGTGTGTCACGTTCAGTTTTGTGCATCACGTTCAGACACTACAGTGGTCCAGTCCAGTGTACATTTTGCACACTCAAGCTGGGCATGCTGAAAATAATTCGCTGGATTTGTCGCTGGTGTGTCACGTTCAGTTTTGTGCATCACATTCAGACACTACAGTGGTCCAGCCCAGTGTACATTTTGCACACTCAAGCTGGGCATGCTGAAAATAATTCGCTGGAGCTCCTTCAGTGTGATCTCATGAAGTTGCCTGGCACAACTTTGGAACTTTGCGAGCTCACATGACTCATCCCCAGTTTTGTCCTGACACAGCCCAATCTAATCCTTTTTCAAGATACAGGCATTGTCTAATGTTTTCAACAAAAAAATCATTGTAATCTAAATGCAGAAACTTCTTCACTAATGCATGTGTAATTTGTACCCACATTTTCCAGACTGCCGAGTCTGAGGCATTATACATTATTTTCACATCATGTGCCGAAATGTAGTACCTATCAGTGCCCTGCGCCAACTCATCAGGTCCATGTCTTGTCTTGTTCGCCTTGTTACATCCGCCTACCTCTCCTCCATCATTTCTTCCTTCCATCTTTCCTTGCTTCCTTCCTCACTCCCTCTCCTTCCTCTCCTCTCCTTCCTCTCCTCTCCTCTCCTCTCCTCTCTCCCCTCCCCTCCCCTCCTCTCTCCCTCTATCCCTCTCTCTCTCTCTCTCTCTCTCTCTCTCTCTCTCTCTCTCTCTCTCTCTCTCTCTCTCTCTCTCTCTCTCTCTCTCCTTTACTTTACTCTTTCCCTCCTTCTCTCCTATTCTTTCTCCTCCATTTTCTCCCACGCAATGTGAAGTGTACCTATAATTTGGTTATGAACATTTTGCAGGGGATGAGCTGGAGAACCTGCAGCGCATTCTCCAAGAGACGACGGAAGCCAACGGAGGCCCGCAAAACTTTCCATCCCATAATCGTGAATGGAGAGCTGGGCGGGGAAGACGCGGTATTCGTCGAGGCCCAGGAGGTGGTATCGGCGCCACCAGACCAAGCATTCCTGCTGTGGCAGGCCACCTTTTGGATTTTTAACATCAAAACTCCTAAAAACGTGGTCAATCTGAATTGGTTTCTGAGAACCAAAGTGTTTGGTGGGGTGAAGGCCGATGTGCCGCCATCAGCGGCGGCCATTGCGACCGTGAAGCAAGTGGAGTGAGATCCCCGTAGAGCATGCCGCTGCGGGGTGTCGGAAGCGTTTGCCAATTCTTTGAGCCTTCCACCGGCAGGACTATAAATACACATTTCTTGAAATATATCTTTGATCTGTGCTTGGTTACACGGGCTCCGGGTTGTGACGCTATTCGTCCAATATATGTGGTCGACGGTCGTATGCAGATTATCATTTGAGCTGACTTATGGTCAGGCCGCTTATCGCGGACAGCGGTGTTCTTGCTCGGGGCGGTCTTTTTTCAGTTCCGTGTTCGGCAATGTGAGCGAGCAAGCGCGAGAAGAGGTGTGCTCGTGCACAAGTTCACATGTGTGTGCCACATCCCTAACTCGTCTAAAGCTTACACAGCTATTGAGTCTCTAGCCACCCACCAAAATTGAAAAACAATCGGTGACGCCGTTCCGGAGATACAGAAATAAGGTGCGCGTGTGCAAATATATCCGGTAAATGTCAAGTTTAAGTCCTAAGAAGATTTCATTGATAAATTTTTCATATTTTTACATTATTTGACATCCTGAATCCAAAAATGATACTCATATGTCTCGCAAATAAAAGAAAAAACATAATCAAACCTGACCTAACCTTACCTACTTACCTATAACCTACCAACCTACAACCTACAAACCTACCCTAACCTAACCTAACCTACAAACCTACCTACCTACAACCTAAAACCTACAAACCTACAACCTAACCTAACCTAAAACCTAAAATTTTTGCTGTTTCATATTTGTATCAAAAGCGCCACAATTGTAGTTAGGACCTAAACTTGACATATACCAATATATCCTATCCCCGATTCGTCCAAAGCTTATAGCTAATCCGCTTCCAGCCACACACAAAATTTGAACAGGCTCGGTCAAGTCATTCATGAGAAACATTAACTGCAACATAAATTCCATCCCACCAAAACTGACTGATTTTGTCTATTATATACACCATTATCATTGTATCTTTTAATTAGCTGCATCGTTCAACGCTCGCCAGTAGCACGATCAGCGCGATCAAAATCGTGATTAGCCAGCTGAATGCGAAATCAAGATCATGATTAGCCAGCTGGCTGCGTAATCAAGAAGTTGATCATCGGACTCCCGGGACGACGCCTCGGGGCTTTGGTAACAACTGGATTTCCATTACGTCATGGGTGATGATGTCACACCACGGGTGACGTTTCACTGCTGCTGCTGCTGTCCACGGAAGGCAGCGTTTGTGAGTGGAAAACAGTAGCAACATTGTAAATGAAGGCAGTATTGGCGCTTATGCTACACATGAAATTTATAACAACATATTGATATTAGTGAATGTTTATTTTTGTTACTTTTCATAAACCCTCCATTTCAGGGTCTGCATGCAAAATTTCTGTTATTTTAGAGTCAAGCTATTGTACTAAGGGATTTATTTTAGCAATTTAGTCATTTGTTAGGTTATAAGGCTGCAGAAACTTTTAGTTGAGGTTGGTATCCACTATCCAGTTGCAGCTATAATTGTGTCATATTTTGTATCATTTTCTGAACATGTAAACACCTACCTATATGAATCCAAATATTGTGATTGTAGAAAAGCAGCTACCCTCACATTGCAGCGGGGATTAGAACAATTAACCACATTTGTTATACAAAAAGCCTGTTTGCCATCAATTTTGGGATTCCAAATTGGGTATCTCTCATCTCATCTCATACTGTATTAAGGACATCCGCAATATACTTGCGGCTATTACTGCCTTTCGTCACGTGATAAAACAAATGAACGTCAATCGGCAATGGGAGAGTAGGCACAAAATGACAACGATCAAACATACAACTGTCACATGCACGCACACACATACACACAAAAACAGGTATTGGTAAGGTAGATGTAGCACAAGCTGCCCGATGCACGAGAATGGGTCTTTCTAACCAAACCTTACCTAACCTGACCTACAACCTACAGCCTTAAACCTAAAATTTACAACCCACGACCTAGTCCTACGGTATGGCATATCACAATTCACAACACAACAGCTTGTGCTATGTCTGCTACCATGACCCAACTTTGTGCCAATTCATACCAACTTGGGATGACAGTCACTGCAGATGTGTGCTGACCATGCAGGTCTTTGTTACAATTGCAATTCTATTGTGTTACAGGTTCGGCATTTTACAGCTGCAACCCGCCATGGCTGGGCCACCACGGCGGCATCACCTTCAGGGTGGACCTGCCCGTGGCCACCCGCCGGTCGGACCCGCCTGCAGTCCGCAGGGAAGCTGCCCTGCGAGCCACTGCAGAGCTCCCGCACCCGGACGTCACTATCTGGTCGGACGGCTCGGCTCGCGGCGGACGGAACAGGGCGGCGCAGGCGCTGATCCAGTTCCACCACCTCAACAGAGAAGAGACCGTGCGCGCTCCTGCAGGGGCGGTCTGCTCCAGCCTAAGAGCAGAACTGACCGCCATGCGCGAGGCGTTCGCGGCTGTGGCCGGCCTGGAGGACGGGGAGTTGGCATCGACCAAGTCGGTCCGCCTCCTCACCGACTCAAGGCCTGGGCTCCAACTACTCGGCCGCGGCCCAGCTAACCAGACCATGGCCCTGGCCGCCGAGGTGTGGAGGCTGCTGAGTGCTGAGCACCCTCGCCGAGAACGGCACCGAGACGGTGCTCCAGTGGGTGCCAGGCCATGCCGGGCTGGACGGCAACGAAACCGCCGACCGCCTGGCTGGCGAGGCCACGGCGGGCGACCAAGACAGCGCACCGATCGACCTTTCGAGTGCGCGGGCCGCCGTCACGCGCCATGTCCGGGAGCTGTCGCGACAGAGGGCAACCGCTGCCCACCCGCACCCGGACCCCACGCCTGGCCACGACTCCCTGGCGCGCTGGGGTCGGTGACGCTGTCCCAGCTGAGGACCGGCACATCACCGCTGACCCGTGACACGCTCCACAAGATTGGCCCGGAAGCCGACGACGAATGCCCCGCGTGCGGGGAGCCCGACAGCGCGGCGCACCTACTGACCGATTGTCCGGCCTATGAGGCGGCCCGCCGCCGCCGATGGGGTGTCGACCCTCGCCTGGTCGACGTCCCCGGCGGCCCGGCGACGAAGGTCGTCACCTTCATCGAGGATGTTGGGCGGACCGAGCCGCCGCTCGACCCGCCTGCGCCGCCGCCCCCCCTGAGCGGGTTGGCGGTGGGATGCAGAAGAAGAAGAAGAAGCAACTGCCAGCGCGCCACGGCGGCGAAGCCAAGTTCCGCCGCTGGACCGCCCGCGCAATGGCCAGCACAGAGAAGAGACAACCGAATCACAACACCTACAATTACGTTATTGTTATGGTATTGACATTGTTACAATTAACCCTGCTCTTTCGAGCGTGGATGCACGCTGAAATTGTCGCATAATTCCATGCAGCTTCCACCCTTCTGCAATACAAAGTTTGAATACAAAGTAGTCTTGCAATAGGTTTAGAACTTATGTGCAGATTGTCGATGCTGGTTGACTTGATGATTGGAATTGTGTTTATCTGTTTCATCTGTTTTGACTTAAATATATGGCCATGGACTATGGCCTACTTTGGGAAGTGTCTGATTTCAACAAAACATTTTTCATCAGGATACGCTGCAGGGTACATAGTACATACGTAGTGAAAATTTTGAGCATGTATGGGTGCGCATGTGGAGATGTAGACTGCGATTGAGACGGACTACGACGGTTTTTGAACCAATTAAATCTGATTGACAACATAATGTAGGACTAAAAACTGACTGTCAGAAGAATATTCACAGAATATTCACTTCACCCGGTACAACGAAAAGGGAAAGTCAGGGAATAGAGGCAGGGGCAGGGTACATCTCGAAGATCAATCAAATTGCAGGTGCCGATTGGTTATGGATCATCGCAGCTCAAGGTACTGCCTTGTGCTGCTTTATTGTTAACTGAAATTGCTTCCACCTTGTATCGAAAGAAGTCATTATGGAAGATTTTGAAAAGGTTCTTGAAAAATTTAAATGCTTTGAATTTATATTTCTGCAGAATTATACACCCGTATCATTCTTTACATGTCAATATTTGTATATTATCTAGCATATAAGAAAATAGTGGCCTCAAGTTTCTAGAAAATATCTGATTTTGCTCTCTGGGCCACTGCAGATCCCTAAAAAGTTAGGAGCCGTCTTCATTATTTAATGTATAAAACCAAATAAATTATCACTGCTCAAAAGTGGAAGAAATGACAAATGAAAAAAAAGTTTTCTTACAGCGTTGCAATCCAGATTTCATGATAGTGATGGGCGCACTAGAAAGCAAGTAAAAGTACTCCACAAGGTAAAAGTAAGAAACAAGAATATCCTTATACTGTTTCAGAATTCGGTAACAAACATTTTTTATGTGTTTTAAATACCCGAACAAATCGATTCCAAAATCAGTCTTGATGATATTATATGGTTTTTGTATGGTGTTGGTGGTACTTGAATGACCAAAGTCAGTACATGTCCATCACCTTTCGATATTTCCGTGGTGCTCGCTCCCATTTCATAGCTGCTCACGGTGTTTTCTGCTGACGTCATATGGTGCTGCTCCACTAGCGCCACCATACGGCGTCAGCTGGCGAATTATCCAGTTAATACCAGAGCCCACGCCTCGTAATCAAGTTGTTGATTACGTTTTGGTTGCAATCTACCGCCTCACGATTTTCAACTTGAATCATTCAAAGATTACACTTGTAGAGTGACTTCTTCTCTATCGGTCTTAAAATTTTCGTGCATCTCCGTAGACCCTGAATCGAGATTCGGCCGTTTTCGTGACGGGCTGCAAACATGACCAAATATGGGCATAAAATAATCATGAACTTGATTAATCAAGTTCTTGATTACCTCCCCGTAGTTTGCCCAACTGATTTGTATGCCGAGAGAGGACCAGGCGGAGAGCATTACCAAGACCATCTATAAAATTATTACATTTAATTTAGTACTTGCTGTCTCTTTATTTCTTAACCGGTGATTAATCTCTGAATTGTAAAACTTTAGCTGTTGTGTAAAATAATTTGATCAGAATGGCACATGAATATGCATTGTACAACGGTGTTTTCGCAACAAGTTCGCACTAACTACGGCTGCAATAATT